TGACTATTACGGTTCTGTAAAATAACTTTACTTATCACCACATTTCTGTAAAAAAACTTCACTACACCTTACCAAGATAGTATAGTAAAACAACAGCATCACTGACTATTACGGTTCTGTAAGACCCTGTGTTCTTATTAAAACTTTACAGAGGTAACACAACAGCATTGCTTACCAGTTTAGTTTTGAAAAGCAACATCTTCAACATATCTTACAAAGACGAGTTCACTATAACTGTACTTTTAGTCACAACTCTAACAAACCTTACCAAATCAAAATTAAATATTTTTAGTAAAACAACACTTTTATTTAACAGTACGGTTCTGTAAAACAAGAATTCATTAAACAGTAGTATAGTTCAGTAAAAAAAAAAATCACTTACCAGTAAGGTTCTGGAAAGCAACACCTTCAAAGCATTTTATCAAGGCGACTTCACTATAACCGTACATTCTGTCACAACTCTAACAGACTTTATCAAGTTAATGCCGCTCTAAAATAAATATTTTATCAGATCTTACCAAAACTGTAGTGCGAATAGCTCTGAAGGTGTGGCTAGACAGCAGGTAAGAAAGAAAAGTTACAGCAGCTCCGAAAAATGTGGCACTGGCGGTGGTGAGAAACAGCCCATAAGCAGGACCCAGAAGAAGCCATACGGGGGTGCCATAGGTTATTGTTAGCCCCAAACATATTCCACCCAAAATCTGCAAAGATGTCATTAAAGTCATTCACATCGAGAAGCGAATAAAATAGCACAGAACCTTCTATTTTAAGATAAATCATAATTATGTACATTGTGAAATTATAAACACGTTTTTCGTTTTTTGTTGTTGTTTTCAGAATTCTAAAAATAAAATTGAAATAAGTTATGTTATTAGGTTACTGGTAAATATTATGTTGGCATATCTCCAACAGGGTTGAGTACGTTACATTAAAATGATTTTGAATATGCAAATCAACAAGTCACGTGTCATACAATCAGTATAAAGCCGCGATGAAACGGATATTTATGTATCAGAACTACATTCTGGCATTGTTTGATGGTTGGTAGGTAGTATGATGCCACCGAAAATTGATCGCTTTTGGAAATGGTATATTAATGCCCTTTCTGACGCAAACTATTCATACAATCGGATCATAAAAATGTATTCAGTTTGGAGATTTAGAATTTCCAAAGAACATCTTTTGTACTCAATGGTATTAGGAAACCAAAGAATATGGACCCTTTCGAACAATCAGGACCACCCAGAAAGAGACCAACAACAACAAGAAATCATACCCCAGCTATAATAAGCAAAATGCAACGTCTTGTAACAGTTGTGAACCCACGAAGTCAAAAATTCGTCTCCGTTCCCCAGGATCTCTGTCTGGAAAAATGACAAAAGTCATGCATACACAAGTTACTTCTACGGCATATTTGCTCAACCATCGCATACCTCAAGCAGCTGGAGAAAAAAACAACAACAGGTATTCATGCTATTCTATATGAAGTCATATCGGTCAAATCACCAGAAGCAGTGCTTATTGGTTTCTTTATGATCGGACATGCGCTAGGTTACTATCGTTCTTATACACTATACAGATTATGGAAAGCAAAAATCAGGGAGGAGTGGCGTGCTTTGGACATGACAGCCTTACGAAGAAGACTTTTGCAATAGAAACTACATATGATGTGAGGCTATTGTCGAGGAGCTTGGTCGTCAACTAGATCATGACCAAACGTGGTGACGTGAACTGCAATGACGTTCCAAAATCGTTTTAAATATAATGTGCTCAACCACTGTATATACGTCACTATTATTTGAAGTTTTTTAATTTGGTATGTTTTATTTAAGGTGTAAAATGTTATCAAAGAAATGAAATAAAGAATTAAAGCCATGAAAACGATAAAAGACACTAAACGTCTACTGTGTTTATACTTCGTTTTTTACGTAACTACTATTTTAGGATTATATTAAAACAATTGCAATGAATTTATATAAAACGTTATACATTGTTGTGCACAAAGTTGCACAATAAGCTATCTGTGTTATTTCTACCACAGGAATCGAGCCCCGAATTTTAGAATCACAAGCCTCAAGGTTACCGCAGAGCCACCTGGGGGAATTATCTTACAAGGCACATACAGTTAATTATGGATTTTAACATCACAAGTGGAAATGTAAGAGTTAAACAATAAAAAGGGTTACTACTTATAAACGTCTTTGGAATCTTCATATATGTTTATACATTTGTATTTCTATTAAGTTTCATTTTAGAAATCTAAAACTTCGAGTAGTCATTCATGATTGATAAAAACAAATACACAAATATTTTTAATTAGACTAAAACAACTGAAAATAAACTAAACATTCCTCATATTCTCAGGTTCACTGATATCTATAGGTAAGAGTAGCACTGCAAATAAGTAGAGATTCGAACAGGATAAAATTTACGAAGTTAAAACTTAAAATTTGCCTTGACTGAGATGCAGAACAAAGCTTAACACAGTATTGAAAATAGTAAAATCAATCTTTATTTATAATTACAGTAATGAATCAAACATAGAGAAGTGCACGAAACATCACATGGCGCTTCTAGAGATTCTCCTGAGATAATCTGAAGATGATCAGTATATATCCTCTATACTGAGAGATTAGGTGTTACTGTTGGATGTTCAAGACTGTTTAGTGTAAGCGTTATTATTTAGTTTATTTTGTGACTTAATATTTAATGATTTTTTTATAAGTGTTAGCTACGACAAGTTTCGTTGCGTAACTCTGTACCAGCCGTACGTTGTGTATGCAATTAGATTGTTGTACTAGGCTTTAGTAATATCGTTGACGTCACGTTACTCGAATATTCGGTATTTTTCTCGTTACCATAAGTGAGTATTGTTCCATTATAGTGTCGCGTAGATTATAGAAAGTTCGAAGCCTCGGTGAACAAGATATGTATATAATAATGGTTGGAGACGGCTTCGTTGTACATTTGCTGTTATGTTAAACTTATATTAAAGTTTTTCTTCATTACCCATTTAAGCCGTCTCCAACCATTATTAGTCTCAAAGTGGGTTCCTCGTCATCGAATTTGAAAGTATATATATAGGTGACTAGCGAGCGCAAGTTAAGTAGAAAAATTTCAAGACAAGTGAGAGATAATTAGACAGATCTAGACTGAGTGATTGGCAGTTTAGCCATGGCGAGTGATTTATAAAGAAGTTACAAGTTTAGTCAGGAAATATTACGTTAGTGAAAGTGAAGATAGAAAAATAAAGTGAAATTCATTCAAAAAAAAACTGTTAGAAAACGTGAAGTTAGCGGGCGTGTGAGTGATTAGCCATAACGGGCGATATTTTAAAGTGAGTTTCACAGTTCAACAGAGATAACGAGAATAATTTGTCTTGTCAAAGGGTATTCTAAAGAAACTGCACTCGTCTGTGTGGACTTTGACGAAAAGGAGACAATTATTTAAAGTTCTGGATACAACTGTGGTAACCCACGGGTAACATAAGTGAATTTATCGCAGATTGTATAGTAAGAAACAGAATAGAGAAAAATAATTCGTCTTGTCAATTGGATTCTAAAGTAATTGAAACAGACTGTGTGGACTTTTGACAATAAAATAGAACTATTTAGAGTTTTAGATACAACTGTGATATTCTATAGTGTAAAAAATTTTGTACATACATTTGACTTGTTTTGAATATATCATTTTCAAACAGGTGGATTGTGTGCTGTCCGTTTATTGCCAACACCTACTGTAAAAGAATCCCAGCCCACTTATATATTTACATCCTGACAGCTATCAACATCTCGGTTTATCTGAAGTGAACATAGGGAGAGCTTAATCTTCAGGTATTTCTAAGTTTAAAAAATGTAATGTTACTAGAAAATGCAGGTATTAGATCCGAAAAAAAATACTACATCAATGTTGTCATGACAAAGGTCTAAAAATATGCCTTGACCACATTTGAGAAGCAAACAAAATAAACTCAGTACTGGACAAGACAGATTTGCTATATGTGAAAGGGTACAAGTGCTCTAAAGTACATATATCTCAAATCTTTTTAAAATTTTGGTAAACTAGAAAGTTTACATTTATAAAATAAAATAGGAGAGAAAATATGGTACCTTTAGGTACCACACTCTACCTTCTACAGTGTTCAGGCGATTTCAGCCATCCCTAACATTAAAGTTAAAAATTCAAGTAAAAACTAATGAACATCAATCCGCCATAATCTGGTAATACAGTTATTTCTTTTCCTGACAAAATACTTACGCAGCATGATGACATATCGAAAAAAAAAGTTACAATAATGATATTCAAATACAATATAACTTTTCATCATCAACAAAATCGTAATATAAAGCTAATAAAAGAAACCCTTTAGTAGGAGTTGAAATATGTACATATAAACACATAGGAAAATCGAAGAATTAAATTGTGGCGAAATGCTACAAGTTCTTAAAATACCTGTAGAATGATAGGTTTCTTTTTTGTGAGTGTAAAACACTTAAATACAACATTTCGATTTTCGATACCTCACTACTATAGAGGCTTGGTTTAGTTTGATATTTCATTGGTGGTAGTGTCCAGGGTCACTGATGAGGAGTGGAATTCTCTGAAACTAATCTGGCTCACAGACACACCCCAATGAAAGAACAGACCATTCCAAGCTTTTACTTGTTGTTAAACAAATGTTTAAAGAACTTTATTCAATCACGTAGGAAAATGTTAATAACAAAGTTAGCCTCATGGGGTGAATGGTCAGCGGGCACAGTTCCAGGATAGTGGATAGAGGAATCTTCTGAGCTGGAAGTGTCTCTGATGATGAACTGATGGTCATTTGGATTATTTGTGGCATGCAGGCATAGCAGGTTCCCTATATTCTATAGCAAGATAAAATTATCCCAAATTATTGATTATTTAGTTTCTGCACTAGCTGTCCTAGTCACTTCAGGTATTTTTTCTTTTATTTGATTAAGTCCTCTACCCGTAAAGATATTTCAGTGCAGTATGTTGAGCCTGGGTTGAACTAGTTAAAATTGGAATATCCTTTGTTGGCCGAACTATGGCGTCAACTAAAACTAATAGCTGATTTATAATGTCAGGGAGTAGATGTCACGAGGCGATGCCAACCACTGGACAAAATAAAAAAAAAAAAAACAAGCTGATGCTAGGAATCCAGACACACTTTCTTTGTTAACTTCTACTTGGCTTTCATTGTAACTAGTTCAGCAGAGATTCAACTTGAGATATGGAAAGGTGGAAAGCTATTCACTGATCCAGTAGAGGCGATCTTTTGTCTATGTAGCTACACATACTGTTTTTTATGTTGTGTCTGAATAAATGTTGTTTTCATTGTCAATTAAATGTGTCCACTCTGTTTATTTTTCACACAACTTAAAATTCAATCAAGTTATCAACTACAGAGCTTTTCCTTTATTTCTTGGTCGAATTTGCTGTTATTTGTGTGTTTGTCTGTCTGATCTTTGTTGGGAATTCAGTTTTACCTGAAAATATCACACACTAACAACTCTTGTGTCCCCAATATTAGCTCATTAGCGACCTTCAAGATCACTCAGTTGTTGGTCTTCTTGGCTAAAAGCAGATCTTCATCCATGTTGGTAGCTGTCAGGACTATATTGAAGTCTTGGGTACTTCACGGTATAGTTTGTTTGTTTGTAATTAAGCACAAAGCTACACAATGGGCTATCTGTGCTCTACCCACCATGGG